CTGCAGGAAGGAGAGGAAGGTGGACAACATGAAGCCCAAGCACCCCGAGGAGCAGGAGATCCCGTTCCGCCTGCGGGAGATCATGCAGAGCCGCGAGGCCATGAAACGCCTGGGCCAGGGGAAGAGGAAGGCAGCAGGTGGGACACGGAGGTGGCCTGAGCAGGTGGCCCAGGGCCTGGCCCAGGAGCCCATGGCACAGCTGGAATCTGCCATGGGAGCTCCTTGTCCCTCTGGTGATGTCCTAGCCCTGCCCTGGCAGCAGGAGGGACCCTGGGGTGTCACTGCTGCAGTAATGTCCCCCCTCTCTCCTAGAGAAGAAGCAGCAGCAGAAGCCCAAATCCAAGGGGGACATCCCGGTGCCCAGGTTCCGGAGGGGGAAGGGGGAGTCGGAGCGTTCCTACATCTGCCGCATGGAGCAGGAGGTGCAGCACGTCCTGTTCCTCACTGAGAACCAGCTCCAACGGGAGCCTGAGCGGGAGGACACAGCCCCAGAGAAGTCCCAGAGGAAAAAAGAGTGAGAGCAAGGCCATGGGGGCCGGATGGGGCCAGCCCAGGCCTGTGGCCTGTCCCCCTACTTGGTTCTGCAGGGCAGGTCTGGCACTGGCAGCGGCTGGTGGGGCAGGTAGGGGGCTGTGGACCCCCTCTCCATGGATTTGGATCTCTGGGAATGGAGCCACAAGCCTGCTTCACCCTCCTGGGGGGCGAGCTGTGGGATTTGTGGGGCTCCTGTGGGATAGGGACTCACTTCCTTGCTCCCGAGCCCTGGCCACAATGAGGCTCCTCAGGTTTCAGAAAAAGAAGCTGGAAAAAGCTCGGAAGAAGAAGGAGGAGAAGAAGGCAGACATGCTGGAGAAGAGCCTGTTCCAAGGTGGGGCTGGAGCAGGGTGGGCTGGAGTGACCCCCAGCCCTGGGGGCAAGCACATGGAGGGAGGGGATTGGGAAGCTGGATTGGCACATCCCCGGGGGCTCTGACCTGACTCTGGTTTCCCTCACAGACACGGTGGCGTTTGGGGAGGTGGTGACACAGCCACCCACCATCACCTCACGGCCCCGGGGACGGGGTCCTGCCGAGCAGGTGAGCTCTGGGGGACAGTGCCACCCCCCCGGGTACCTGCAGGGCTGGGGTGGCCTCAGTGGCCCGGTGGCAGCTCCTGGCAGCGCGGTCCTGGTGTCTCATCCTTCAAACCTGAGCTGTCCCGGCTCTGCCCACAGGCTGGACGGAAGCAGCTCCTCCTGACACCTCGGCTGGGCCGGAGCCAGGCGTCCCCCGTGTCCCCCGTGTCCCCGGTGATGTCCATGGCTCGCCGGCGCATCGTGGAGGAGGAGCGGGCGCGGGTCATCCAGGCCTACAGGGACATCCAGAGGCGGAAACAGCTCCAGCGGGAACGTTCCCAGGCTGGGCACAGGGCCCCGCCCTGAGCCCACCCGGAGGGGCTGTGCATTCCTGGTCCCTCTGCAGGGACCCCGGGACTCGAAGGGGACATTGTTGTGATGCTCTCCTGTTGCTGCTGAGCTCTGGGACTCCCACAGACTCCCCGGAGTGGGGTCCCTGCGGTGCCATGGACGTGCTTGGAGTAAAAGTGCCAGTGGGAGCTGATGGCATGAGCATGTCTGTGCTACGGCCCTGCCCGAATTCCTTAGGGACTGCTGTGCAGGCAGATGGCAGTGCCAGGCAGATGGCAGTGCCAGGCATGTCACTGTCACCACAGGCTGGCCCTGGCAGGGCTCTGGTGAGGGCAGGACCCTCGTTGCTCAGCCTTGAGGAGACCCCAGTGCGTGGCCATGACCCCTCCAGCTCCAGTCCTCAGGGGGAGGAAAGCAAGGCAGTGCTGAGGACATGGAGCATCCCACAGGGCTTACCTGCACAGTGTCACCTCCCTGTGGCGTCACCACTCATGGCACTATGGAGACCCTGGTCTGAGGTCACGCCACCCCTGCCCTCGGCACTGCTGCCTGTGTGCCCCCCTGGCCCTGGCAGACCCCTGATGACCCCG